GGCCAGAGAGGGACTAGTGCAAATCCATCACCACAGCTACTAGCAAAACAAGCACAAGCTCTGTGCATGGAGGGCAGGAGGTGCCCTCTGCTAGACAAAGGGGATCGTTTAAAAAAAGAAAAAGAACTGGGCTCCTGTACAAGGTGAATGATGCTGTTTGAAAAGGTTGCCCTTTACAACATTAACTTTAGACCATTAACTAAATATACTGATGAATATTGTAAGCTGGAACACATAGCAGGATATATAGTCTGATTATGATTCACTTAAAATTATGGGACACTAATAGACACCCAATATGCTAAAACTGATAGTTTTTTTCATGGTATGAAGTCATGGCCTAACACTTCTTTGTTATGTTCTAATGGTAACATATATTCAAATGTAAACGTAGTATTAGAATTCTCACTCTATTCTTTACCTATATGAGCCATTCATACATGAGAATAGAAAAAAAAAAAGATAGCAAAATTTTAAGTGGAAAAATAATGAGGTATTTTGTAGTTGATAGATACAGTAAAGCTTTTATAATAATCCTGTATAACATTGAAAGAAATGTAAATCCACATACAAACCGCAAGAATCTGTTCCGGCTGTTGGCGATGGCTAGTGAGGTGGAGAATCCAAATGGTGTATAATTACCGAGGTGCTACTGGTCTGTGGGGCAGGGAGGAGGGAGTCGGGGATGGAGTAGGCCTCATCCGCAAAGTTACAAACGTCCTTTGCCTAGAAAGCACCATAAAGTCAGTGTTTTGCTTGAGTTTTCTTTCACAAATACTCTACTCCTTGTGTGCAACATAGAGCTATAACTGGATTCCTATGATTTTATTTTAATTTTAAACCATTGGGTAAGAAGTATCTCTTTAAAACCAAATTTTAATCATTCCACTCCCTGAAGAAAAAGTAAAAAGTAAATAAAGTAACAGGAAATGCAGTGTGATTCTTATGTGCTTGGTCCTCTGAGCTAAGTTATTAGGTTCTACCACTTCAGTTCAGCAGGTCACTGAATCTCTCAGTGCCTCAGTTTCTGTGTGAACACTATTGTGGTACCGGCCTCACAGAGTAGGAAGGGTGAAATAACATATTTAACACAGAGCCTGGCCATAGTCGATACTCAGCAAATGTTATTTTTCATTTTTCAACTATTTCCATTTCTTCTCTTCACCTTCAATATATGTATACTTATGGACATGTATATGACATATAATTATGATACATGTGTGATATGTGTATTTTATAATCATATGGTATAATCTCAGGCACAGGGTTTTACAGCTGGAAGGAATTTATATATTAAATCCCAACTTCTGATTTTATCCATGAGTACGTATAATAATTGCATTTGTATTTCTTCTGTCAGACAGCAGGGGTAGAGTGATCTGGTTAGTAACAGAAATGATATTCAAACCTGAGATTCCTGGTTTGGGGCTACATTGTTTCTACTCTTGTTCTAGTTTAACATTATTTTATTTAAATAACAATGATAACCATTTTCTCAATATTGTGACATATTCTATAGATTTGGTTCTCAGTAAATGATGGTATCACAATAATGTGACTTATTTTCCTGATTGCCGATCGCTTCATAAATTAGGAAGTTTATTCACTTGCAGGAAGCTACGGTAGCCCCCCCGGTATCTGTGGGCATTACATTCAGGTCGGCCAGTGGATATGTGAAACTGCAGACAGTGCCGAACCTGTATATACTACATTTTCTTCTAAGCATATATATCTTTTCACTTAAAGGAGGCACTTTACAGCTTCTCTGTGGCATATCTGAATTGCCAGCATCCCTGCTCTTGCACTTTGGGGCCATTATTCAGTAAAATAAGGGCTGCTTGAACACAAGCACTGTGATAACGTAACAGTCTATCTGATAACCCAGACAGCTGCTAAGTGACTGACCTACAACGTGGAGACGCGGAATGAAGGGATGATTCATGTCCCAGGCAGGACAGAGCAGGACTCTGAAGATTTTTCATCGTGCTCCTCAAAGCGGTGGGCAATTTAAAACTTATAAATGGTTTATTTCTGGAATTTTCTATTTCATATTTTTGGGCTGCAGTTAACTGTGAATAAGTGAAACCTCAGAAAGTGAAAGTGTGGATGGGGGGGCCTATTGTACAATTGACCCTTGAACAATGTGGGGATTAGGGGGGCAGGGCCCCCTGGGGAGTTGAAAGTCTAAGTATCACTTTTTATGCAACCAAAACTTAAGTTGTCCCTTGGTATCTATGGGGCTTCCTATGGCCCTGCGGACACCAAAATCCAAGGATGCTCCAGTCGCCAATATAAAAATGGTGCAGATGGATGCCTGGAGTTGGCCCTCCACATTTGTGGATTCCCAACAGTACAGGTATTTGTGAAAAAAACTCCACGTGTAAGTGGACCCACACAGTTCAAACTGTGACCTTTGTGTTGGTCAAGGTCAACTGTACTTAACTTTTATGAAAACCCCATGATCCTCTAAGAAGAATCTGCTTCGTGAAGTAGGCAAAACCTTCTTTATATTGTATGTTTAAAAATTTCAGATATTAATTTCAATAATATGTAATCTAAGATTAGAGCCCTGAACAAAGGCTCATGCTCTATTTTATGCTCCATCCTGACAAATGGTAAGGTCCTGGGCAAGTCACTTGACATTCTAGTTCTGTGTGTCAACATAGCTATGAAACTGAATAAAGTATGACCTCATTATAAAACCAATAGACTTGAAAGCTAAAATGTGATTTTAAAAATGTATTTACTTATTATTTTAGAGAGGGAGAGGAAGTGGGTAGGGAGAGGGGGAGAGAGGGAGATTTGTTGTTCCCTTATTTATGCATTCATTGGTTGCTTCTTGTATATGTCCTGACCAGGGATCAAACCAGCCACCCTGGCAGATCAGGACAATGCTCTAACCAACTGAGCTACCCTGCCAGAACCTAAGATGTGATTTGATACATTAAAAAATTACCAGAACTCTAGGTGGTAAATATGAAAATAATTTTACTGTAACAAAATGATTTGGAAAAGGTTTTAGCAAATAAAGTCATAGAAAGTATTTTATTTGGGTGAAATAGGTTAAATGACAGAGGGAAAATTTTATTTTAGAGAATGCCTGGTTTTCAAAACCATGGATTGTAGCAATTTAACCAAAATAATGGTAAGGAATGAAAGAATATTAGAAACAAATGAATCCTTAATAATTAAACACATTTCATTTCTAGGCTATTATTTCCTCCTACTTACACAACCCATTCTGGGTTTTCAAATGTATTTAATTAACTACTATGTGAGGAACCTGACAAAAGAAACAAATGTCTTTAGGAATGAAGCAGTTTTAATGATGTGTTTGGCCATTTACACTGAAACTCACTGGATTATTGAATATCCTTTAAATTGACTTTGTATTAGTCCCCTTTCCTCTCTCTCTATTTCCAACTTTCCCATTAATACATACACTTTATTCCTATTCGGGTTCGCCTCCATGAGCACAGAACGGTGGTGGTGGTGGTGGTGGTGGTGGTGATGATGATGATGATGATCATTTGTTAGCTGCATAACATCTCTCTAATCTGCAGAGGGAAGATTCACCGGCTTGCCACTGCAGCCTCTATTGAACAGCAGGTTCACCCTTTCTGCAGTATTCTAGGTGGAACATGAAAGTAAGAACAACTCCGAAGATTATTGTCTAAGGTTACCCCAGAAGTCCTGCGGCATCTGCAATGTGCCTGAATACTTTCCATTCTTTTCAAACATCTTTCTGCAGACTGTGTAAAGCCAGAAACAAACACAGCCAAGCAAGGCCCTTTCTAGCAGAGCTTGTCAATCACACACTTTGCCACATTCTCTGAAAGAGTAAGCAAATGATAACTTGCAACCGTTGCCCAGGCCCTGTAAACAAAGGATGAAATTGTGCTCTGCCTTGGCAAGAAAAGAAACTGCAGCGTTTTCCTTTTGTCAAGGTTTCTTCTTTCTTTTTACAAGTTTGAGGCTTCAAATCAATAGCTAGAATTGTCCTTTTTTCCAGTTTACAGGGGGAAAAAAAGGAAAACATTAGTAAATGTTTAGTACATTAGTAAAGATTAAAATACTATTTAAAAATAAGTATAATCAAGACTGTAGGTTAAAATGTGGTCTAGCTCCATAGTAGAGTCAGCTGTGTTGTTCCAACTGTAATCTGAGGGATTGAGTCAAAGTATTTTTTCTTTGTTTTTCTGGATGTGTGAAGAAATATCTGATCCTTGTCAGAATCAGAAAAATTAATAAACATAATCAAAGCATGGGTTTTACGGTCTATAGAAGATATACAGGCACATTAACTTCAGCAAGACTGCAGTCGGGATGAATAATAGTATTTTCCATAGGAAAAAGAGAACAAAACAGTAGGGGAGTGATATTATTCATGCACACACAAAAAAATCAGTGGAAAAGTAAAACCATTAAAATAAAGAGTGGCTAAGCATATGAACATGACAGTAATTGAGCATATTTGTCTAAAATTGTTTCAAATTTTGAGAAGAAAACCGTCCAACTTATTTCTTGCACGAGGCAAACTGCTTTGCCCCTTCCAGACTCCCGTCCCCGGCAGCTGAAGGTGTGCGGTCAATTCCTTCGTCCAGTCCCCAGGTCCTCGCGGCAGCCCCAGCCCAGGACCCAGAGCCCCAGCGGCGTGGTAGGAGATGTGAGCGGAACCGGGGCGGTGGGGGGGGGAGGGTGCTCACAGGTGGGGTGGGGCTGGGGTGAGGGGCGGGCGGCCTCTGGTACCTAGGCCGCCTCAGGTCGAACTCTGCACGCGCTCTGTCCTCGCCCCGGCCCCTAATTGAACCCGCCCCCGAAACTCCACACCTCTCCCTGCACGCTGGGCTTCGGGGTCCCGGCTTTGGGCCGGCAGTGGCGGGAGCGCAGGGGGCGGCAGGAGGCTGGGAGCGCCGAGGGGCGGGGCCAAGCGGGCAAAGCCCGGCCTTCGCTGCGCGGCTCTGAGCGAGACGGCCATTCTGCGCGAGTCGGCCGTGGCCGCGGCGGAGGGATACGGAGCGCCGTATATATTTCACAGAGCGCAGGGTCGCACTTCGGCATTTGTGCTGGGAGTCTCGCGGACGCGTTGCCGTTACTTGCAGTCGGGCGGCGGCGCGGACGGCGGCAGCAGCGGCGGCGGCGGCAGCGGCACAGCGCTCAGCGCACACCGCGCCTTAGCAGCAGCAGCAGCAGCAGTAGCAGAGGCACCCCCGCCGTCACAGCCCGTGGGCTGGTGCAGCCACTCTCGCTCCCTCTGCTCTTCCTTCGTTCGCACCATGGTAGGTTGGGAATGGCAAATGCCGGCGTAGCAGCTGCCTGCCCATTTCTTAACACAGTTCAGCCAGGTTTTTTTCTCTTTTGCGGTTTTCCTTTTTTTTTGGTGGGAGTTATTTTTCCCCCTCTTTTCCGGGTATTACGCAGCAGTTGCGGTTAAAAAGGACACGTTTCGGATTTGCATCTCCCTTTCCTCCGCCAGGGATCCTCTAAATTTTGGTCTTCCAGGGGCTCTTTCTGCAGCGGCACCGGGGCTTCCGCATCCACCCCCTCCCCCAGCCCCGCACCATTGCATCCAGCGCGCCGCACCCGGGCTGCCCGCAGCGCCGCGCCTCGGCTGGGGCCCCGGGGGGCGGGGGAGCCGGGCGGTGCCGGGCACTAACCCCCTCCACCCCGCTGCCTCTCCCTAGGGTCGGGGGTGGCGAGTCCAGCGGGCAGGGGAGAATGAATGGGCCGGAGCAGGCGGGTGGCGCACATTGCTCCGGCCGGGGCGTGGGGGGCGCCGTCAGTGTTGTCCCCTCGCTCCTAGTCGACCCTGCCGTCTCTTAGCGGCTGTCCCCTCCTCCCTCCCGGGGGGCGCGGCGCGGGCGTGGGCTGGGAAGGAAGGAGCCGGGGAAGGGTGGGGTGGGGGCAGGAAGACGAGGGGTGGGGGGCGGAGGGCGGAAGCGGCGGGCAGGCCGCCCTGCGCCCGGGCGGGGCCCTGCGGTGTGGCCGGGACTCGTGTCTCCCCGTTTTGAACCCCTGCAGCCCCCCTACCCCGTATCCCCTACCCAGGGCAGCAGTAAAGGCGTGCGGGAGCCTCGGTGCACCGGAGGCCCTTTCCCGCGGGAGGCGCTGGGTTGGCGCTAATTGGGGCGGGCGGGGGGGCGGGGGAGGAGGGAGCTGGCGCGCGGCTCGGTTTCCATTAGAGACGCAAAGTTTCTGCTCCGGGAGGAGACGGCGGCGCGGCGGGCTCGCCGCCTGGGGGAGCTGAGGCGGGTGGGAGGCGCGGGGCGTGCTTGGCCCTCGCCGGCCGCGCGGTTCCGGAGTGGGAGTGGGAGGTCGCACTGGTTGGTGAGAGGCGGCTCCCCCACCCCCGCGCTGGGGCGGTCCCCTTGCACCTCGTCTGCTCTTAAGGCCTCACCCCTGCCCGGCCCCGCGCTCGGCGTGTCCCCACTCGGCGCTACTTCCAGTCCGGAGGCAGATGCCGTCCACGTTTCCGCTTTCTCTGCAGCTTCTAGATTGCCCGATGCGCCTGTGCGCCTCACTGGGTGTGTTGTCCACAGCCCCCTTCCTCCCTCGGCAGTGCTGACATCACCCACAGCGCTTTCTGTCTTGGATGGGTGAGGAGACGGCCCCCTTGAAGATTCCGCGCACCCTTGCCCCTGAGGCCAACGCCATTAGGCGATTCCTTTTGCTCGAGGAAGGCTGATGCTCTCAGTCCCTCTAACACGATAGTTTTGCCGCGTGGTGGGACTCTCCTCTCCAGTAAGGGTGACAGCTTATCTTTCGAGGTGTGGCAGCGCTTCCTGTTGTACAAGACAGACGTTGCTCTGGCATTACATAAATCCTCGTGTCTCATTTGATTCAAAGAAAACCTCCTTGGCAGTCACTGGGGGGTAGAAAGGGAGGAAAGCCCAATTCTAGTACGGAAAAAAAAGTTTTTCAATGTATTGAAACACCATCCCTATTTGTGAAAGTTTTCATTTAAGAGTTAGAATAAATGCCGTCAGCTTTCTGTTAGGACTTATTTTGTAACTGGCTTCATTAGGTGCCCTTCATTAAAATAAATATACGTATTAGCTCTCTTTGAGGTCTTGAGTTCCCCTGGCTGGAGGCACAGGGTTCAGTGTTTCCGAGAGAATTACCTCCGTGGCCATTACCCCCTCCCGTAAAGTGTTTATTATGAGCAGCTCTTATGTCATCTTCAAGGTGGGTCAATATCCTCCAGCAAAGTTCCTTCTCTCCAGAAAAGAGAGGGTATAGTCTCATAATTGTGTAGTTATTGGTGGACTTAATATTTGTGGTTTTCTAACAGCTCATTTATAGGAGATTCCATTTTTTTCTCTGGCTTCTGAATCAGGATAATTTGACGGAGGGCATTAGCCATTGTAAACGGTAGACTTTTTAACAAATAACCGCCTACTGTAAATGATTGAAAGCATTTATTATGCGGAAATGAAGTTAGTGGGGTAGCTCATTGTGGTATATTTATTTTTTTCCACTTAATTGTATCTCATAAAATGGATATAAAAGCCTGTTAATCCAGCCCAATGCCATTATGTAACACCAACTTGGAGATTTGGAGCGCTCGCAGCAATGCGCACGGTGCGCTGAAAGCCTGCCCCTGGATGAGATCCGGGCTGCGGTGACAGCAGCATCAGGCCGGGTCCCTTCTTGGATGGAAGCGGGGACTGCGGCGCCCCTGGAGCAGTAGGTGGCGCTCCTCTTTCTCAGAGCCTACTGCTGCAGCCTCTGCTGTGGGACCCTTTGCCACTAGAGGTGCCATTTTTCAAATTATGAACTGACCCTTCCTAGTTAGACCTCACTGCACGCGGCCTTAGGCCCAGAGGAGAAAACTTGAAAGCAATTGTCACTTCCTTGTCATCCTTTGATTTCGAAATAGCCTAAAGAGTTTCTAAATGACAGTGCTAAAGTTTTCAGTTTAATGTACTTTAAATATTGATGAAAGGTCACTATTGAAAGTGTAACCGCAGCAACAGTGTTGATCCCAGAGTATTGTAGATTGAATTAACAACCTTTTCTTTCTCCATGTAGGCTGATCAGCTGACTGAAGAACAGATTGCTGGTAAGTCGATGACTTCAGGAAGCTTCCAGTAGACCAGAACTAGGCACCAGTCAGTTTTGGTGACTCTTCTGTTCCCTCCTATAATCTGAACAGTTTTCTAAGACTCTGCAAATGAAAACAAGTAGAAATATTTAGGTCAGATGTTAATCCTTGCCAGTGTTTCGGAGATAACGTGAAAGGAAGTGGAACTAAGACTATCAATTTGTTACGCTCTGGAGTAGCCGCTGACTGTGTCTCACAGTGTGCAAGGTTTTGCATAGAATGCAATTGCACCGAGTTTGCGGCTCAAAATGTAGTTAGAATTTTTATGCCACGGGTCTTTTAGTAATCCACCATGAAACGGTGTACTTGCTATTCTAGAATCAATGGGAATGGGTGAAAATGAGCATTAAGACCATTATAATAATTCCAGCCGGAATTGTGTTGGTTTAGATTGTAATTCCTTAGGAAGCCAGGAATGCCTTTAGCACATGAGTATTCTGGACAACACGTAGGAAGAATGCACTGGTTACCTGGGGGTGTACATTTTAGTCACCGTGATACTGCTATGAAACAGAGCATTCTTACAGCTGTAGAAATTTAACAGAAAGAGACCTGGAATCTTTACTTGTCATATTGGACCTAGGACTAATTTAAATGTGTTCTAACTTAGCCTTCTTTAAAACTGTGAGAATATTGTGGTTTTATGGAGCTGGGTTACAGGAGCAGTGTTTGCTTTATGGACTGCTGTATAAAGGCCAGTCCAATGGGAAGATTGTGGTCTTTATTTCACTGGATAAAGACCAGGCAGTTTCTCATAATTTGCACACCTTGGACAGCTTGCTTTGGCAAGCCCCAGGGAAGTGCGTATTGTGGCTGGGTAAAAACATTCATTCTAAGAGGTAAACTTTTGTTTTCAGAATTCAAGGAAGCTTTCTCCCTATTTGACAAAGATGGTGATGGCACCATCACAACAAAGGAACTTGGCACTGTCATGAGGTCACTGGGTCAGAACCCAACAGAAGCTGAATTGCAGGATATGATCAACGAAGTGGATGCTGACGGTAAGGGCTTTAGAGCTCTGGATGAGCGCCGGTGTTGTGTAATTCAAGCTCAGACGTGTTACAAGATGGTCTTGCAGGTCCCCCGAGCAAAACAAACGTGCAAAGATCCTTTCTGTGGTTGCCTTATGGCCACTGCCAGTGGAGCTGGAAGACTATAGGCCTGCCTTTTGCCTGCTCACCACCCAGACTATTTCCTGGATCAGATCACTGTATTGTTTTCTACCTGCCGTGACGTACAGCTCAATCTTCTATTTATCCACTGCCCCATGAGTCTGTGGGGAAGTAAAAATTAAATAGCTACAGACTTGCTAAGAAAGCGTATTGTCTCTCAGGGGAGAAGAAAGACCCCCAAGTGCAATGGGTGAAGAGCATTCTTAGACATTAACGTGGAATCGGATACAGTGTGAGCTGTAGCTGTGTTTAGTGAAGAGAATTTGGAAGGTCGTGTGAGGCTTGGAGGTGGAGTGCATGCCTGCAGGGGGTAGAGCTATGGAACCCGCGAGGAGGAAAAGGTGCGCACGGCACGGAGCGGGCAGGAACGCGCAGTAACCCCCGTAGCAGTTGGCCCCCCGTCGGTCATCTGTTCTGGACTCCAGAACAGTGGGTAGTAGACTTTTTACTGCTCACTTCCTTCATTGAACAGTTTTTGAGAACCCCCCCAATACGTATTTTTGGAAACCGTGTATATTAACTGTAAATGTATGTAACATTGCAGAACATAGTACATTTTTAAAATGTGAGCTAAGAATAAACAGTTTGGACCTAGACTATTTTTTAGATTATTGACTTGATAGTAGTCATTCAAAAAATAGAGTTTCAAAAGGAAACAAAGTTGAGTTCCACTTGTCTGGCCACATACACTTAGAAGCAGGGGTTTTGGTTAAACTCTAACAATAGTCGCAGTCCATTCAAACTTCTAAAGACTGTTTTCATCCTTAATACTGTTTTGGAAAAAGAGATTGTACATACTTCTCTCTAGTTTGCTAAGGTGATCCGCTGTCTGGGGAAATGGGGTGTCTTCCTCCTATTTTTGCGTAGACACAGCGCTTGGGGGCTGGCAAAGGCCCAAGATTGGATGGAACAAGGTGGGGGAAAGGGAGGTCCGAGGTGACAGAATTTAGCATTCACAGTGAATAAATATGATCATGCCTAAGGCCATACATCTCTGCTTGGCTGTGAGCTTGCCAAGTAATTAACATTGGCTTGCCTGAATATCAGTAATGTTTTAAAGTTTTGGAGGCCAAAGGAGCTTGAAGGGAACTCTGAATTGCTATTTTGATTTAAAGGTGCTGGTGAAAATGAGTAACTTAACCTAAAGCTGTTTTCTTCTAATTTAACTTTATTTCCATATAATTCACATTACATTGTTAATTAGGTGCTTTGTCTTTGGCATGTTCATCTAACTCTTAGTTTTAGAGGAGACTTAGTTTTAGTTATACAGTTGTTTGGAATACTGGCCATAGAACAGATTCTTCTGACACAGTTTCCAAATGTTAATGATTTGAGCTGTGAAAACACTTGAGTTTTGTCCTTAATGGGAAACAAAGATACTGAAAAACAATTAGGTAACTTACCATAACGTGGCTCAGAACTGTCCCCTGGAGAAGACTTTCTAACAGTTCATGGTCCACGGCATAATAAAGTCAGTTGTGCCCCTCATGGTCTTTTTCATCCCTGGGGGCCCACATCTAGGCCTCGACCAGCATCGGGAGCCAAGGCAGAGTTGGATCCCTTAGATCCCTGTAGCTCGGGGGGGGGGGGGGGGGGGGAGATAACCCGGAATGCTCCCCTCAGGGGGGGAGGGTTGGGCCTGTGCTGCTCTGCGCTTTTCCTCTCCTGAACTGTGCAGCTCCCTTCAGTTGTCAAGGATTTGCATATGCACTTTCCTTTGCATCATTAAATGCTCTCCAGGGCACCTATTACTCGTTTGAATTATGTGAATCGTGAAATTGCCTTGTGAAGTATTTCAATAGTTTTAAGACCGACAAATGGTCCAACCTAAGAAAATAATTTGTCAGTGTGTCCTAGCAAGTGCTTACTGTTCTAGAAAGTGGTTCTAAAACTATTACCGCAGAGAAGCATTGCTGGAGCACTTATTTTACAGAGCTTTTTGTTTTTTAATTTAAGGTAATGGCACCATTGACTTCCCAGAATTCTTGACTATGATGGCTAGAAAAATGAAAGATACAGACAGCGAAGAAGAAATCCGTGAGGCATTCCGAGTCTTTGACAAGGTAACCCTGCATCTACACTGCAGACGGTGCTTAAGTACTGCTTTTTTTGCTATCATTTCTAAAAGCTTTAATAATCTCTGTAGTTCGAACACTTATCTAACTGCCCGAGCCTCTTAAATCTCACTTTCAAATAATCCTGACTTAAGCAGTAATCTTATTGAGTAAGGGTAAGCATAATAAATAACAGAAAATTTGAACCAAGTTTCTTGTTACTTTCAATTTCTCTTAACTTTTGAAAAGCTCCTGTGTGTTCTGCATTCGATGACTGCTCATGTGGAGTGGGTAGAGGTGGGAACTGGAGATTGGAGAATTGTCGATGAGAGCAGGGTTGGCAGTAACCTGAGAGGGCATAATTAAGTCAAAGATCTACTGTCATCAGCCCCTAGTAGTCACAATTGCTGAATGTTCACAGGATGGCAATGGTTACATCAGTGCGGCAGAACTACGTCATGTCATGACAAACTTAGGAGAAAAACTAACAGATGAAGAAGTAGATGAAATGATCAGAGAAGCAGATATTGATGGAGATGGACAAGTCAACTATGAAGGTAAAACACTAGCTATGTTTCTTTATCTTACTTCTTAATAGTTTCCCCTTTACAATCTAAACAAGTTAATCGCTTTACTAGACAGTCACTGATATTTTCTTATGCAGAGTAGAGACGTGTTCATAAAGCTGCTTTTGAAGATAACTGAAAGGTATGATTATTTGTCTTTTCAGAATTCGTACAGATGATGACTGCAAAATGAAGACCTACTTTCAACTTTTTTCCCCCCTCTAGAAGAATCAAATTGAATCTTTTACTTACCTCTTGCAAAAAAAAAAAAAAATCATTTACTCATTCTGTTTCTATATAGCAAAACTGAATGTCAAAAGTACCTTCTGTCCACACACACAAAAAATCTGCATGTATTGGTTGGTGGTCCTGTCCCCTAAAGATCAAGCTACACATCAGTTTTACAATATAAATACTTGTACTACCTTAACGATAAGGAAGCACTTAGTGGACTCCTTGCAGTTCCATTTGCTAATGATTAATACACCGTTTGGGCTGGCCAGTTTTTCATGCATGCAGCTTGACAATTGAGCACAGTCAGGCATTTGTATTAAAAACGAAAAATGAAAAAACAAATTCAAAACCTGTTCAGATGGGTTCTAGTTCAGTTTGTTAGTATAAATTGTCATAGCAGGTTTACTGAAAGCAAACACATTTAAAATTGGTTTACCTCAGGAAGTGTGTAGAAAAATGAGGGAAGGATAAACTGTCCAGATGTAGCCCCACTCAGCAAGATGGTCCTCTTGTACTCCCTGCGCCCCGACCCACGGTGACAGTGACACATCTTGGTGGCGTGCCCACGTGTGTTGGTGTGGCGTTGTCTGCATTATACTAGAGGGAAATGGGTGTCAGGCTGTCACCATTCGTACAAATTTTTTTAAAAAAACTTACCAAGGGAGCATCTTTGGACTCTCTGTTTTTAAAACCTTCCGAACCGTGACTTGGAGCCAGCAGAGGTAGGCTGTGGCTGTGGACTTCAGCACAACCATCAACATTGCTGTTCAAGAAATTACAATTTACGTCCATTCCAAGTTGTAAATGCTAGTCTTTTTATTTTTTTTTTCCAATAAAAAGACCATTAACTTAAAGTGGTGTTAAATGCTTTTTAAAGCTGAGATCTAAGTGGGGACAAGGCAGTTGGAGGGGAGGCCAGTGCACCTTTAGCGGCCCCCGGCCCAGCATTGGGTTTCCCTCCTCGCGTCCCGGCACCAGCCTCTGAGCCTGAGCCCCTGCCTAAAACCAAGCAAATACCGGCTGCTGCGCCATGTTTGTGGGCATGGAGGCCTGTTGTATTTTCATTGGGGGGAGGGGACAGTGAATCATGGTAACTTTATGATTATTCAGGCAATAGAGCTCTTAAATGAAGGAAAAACCACTTTCTCTCAAGCATGTATTTAGGGGTTCTTCTCAAACTGTGCTGCTGATACCTGTTTATGTAACTACTTGAGACCACCTGTGCAAGAGACATGATTTAGTGTGTCTGTAATCCAGTCCTCGCTGTGTGTGGTAGAAGCAGTAGTCACTTTTCTAAGCCAGTCTTCATGCCTAAAAGACCCTACCAGTCACCTTTGAGTCACGATTTTTAAGTTACGGTTATACCTACCTTAGCCTCCTTTTACTTTTTTTAAAAGTTGACTTTGCTTCCCGCCCCCCCGCCCCGTAGAGCTAATGGTAGCCCTCAGCCTGGAAGTAAAACACCACCCCGAAGGGAATTTTGTGTCTAATTACATACCTGTAACCAAAACTAAGATGCTGGTACTGGTCTTTGCAGTGGGATTAGTCTGCTTCAAAAACCCCTTTGAAGGGATGTTGCATTTAGTGCAGAACTCTGAAATGAAGGCTGAATGTGCATTTTCCAGGGTGTTAACTGGCTGTATCTTAACTAGCAAGGAGATCGGGGTTTGGAGTGTTTGTGTGGGAGGTTTTAATTTGCCAGGGAACAGTGGCAGGCTGCTAGCGAGGCAGTGAGAAGCTCTTGGCAGCCAAATGGGTTGCATTCAGGGCTGATTTATAGAGACCCTTGGTTTCTCCCTCTCCTACTCCCTGTCTTTCTGGCATTTTGCAACTTGTTAGACTTCGTGCCAGAGGGGTGGGTCTGAGCCGTGGAGAGGAGCCCGCCCATCTGCCTCTGCGGCTGGTCCTTAGACTCGCTGGTTGGTAGAAGAGAGGTCAACCTTGTGAGCTAGGGTCGGCTTTCCTAGGTTCCTGCTCTGGAAGGAACACCTAAGGATACCTTGGGGGTTCTGGTTTGAACAAGTTACAGACCTGGGGGTTTCTTGCAGGAAGATGCAGTAGCCTGACGGTTGACCCGGTTTGTGGCCTGTGCTAGGTGACCTTGGCAGTTTCAAAGAGGGCTAGGGTGACTTGTTGAAAATTTTGCCTTCTATCTCACCCTTTCAACCAAGTCTTTTCCTAGAAGCTGGGTCGACTCCATGTTAGTGGTCCCACGGTCTCTCCTAAAGGACTGCCTTTGAAACCAGGTTCTGACGTGGCCAGAATCCTGCGTGGGAGCCGGACGCTTCCCCCGAGGGGGCACCGTGTTCCAGTTGGGCGCAGGGATGCGGCTGAGCCCACTGTAGCTTTTTTTCCTCTGGCATTTGAGGGGACGACCAGTCCAGGGGTTAGTTTGCAGCTGCGTGAGTTTGAGCGCGGAAATAGCTGAATGTCGTGGCAGTACTTTCTAAGTTGGTTAGTACCTTCCTGTAAACTCTTGCCCCTACTTCTAACTACTCTATAAATATACATATATATATTTATATATATATAAAGTGACTAGTTTAACTGGCATCCCGCTTGAGCCTGAGACTTGCCATAAAAACTGCTGAGTACTTGGCAAACACTTTCATAGTTTTGTTCTCCATCTGTTTGGGGTAGGTGTTGAGCAAGGCAAATGTATCTTGATATTTCAGATGGGCTTTGACTGCGCTGTTGCCAAGGAAGGCTTTTTCTGATTTTTTGACAAATGAATTTTTGCACACTTTAATTGATGTCTTTCAGCAACTTAAAACACATTGAAAATTAGCTACTGTACATATTTTTATATTCTCTTTATAAATGCATGTCTGACTGTACTTGTAACCACACTGTAATGAGTGGCTGCCCAGTAGGCCTAGCGCTGCTGTGGCCTGTTGGAGTAGCAGCGCATTATCCGCCCCTCAGCGTCCTGGGAGCTTCTTCCTAAACAAAGAATGTAAATTAGGTCAATCTACTCTTCGTTCATTCAATTATTTCAAACATTTGAATTAACTATTGTATATCTTAAATAATCCTTTTACTGTATATCCTAAATTGATCCTTTTGGCAGTGACTAGATTCCACGAATGTGTCTTAATCTATCCCTCCAGCTGGCAATTACTATCCACTTTTTTTTGTCCCTTGAAGTTGTCCGGTAGGAGACACGTTGCTGTCTGTATCCCTTGGAGTGAGAAGGTAGTGGCATGGGTGGAGCGTGTGTTCTTTCTCCAGATCTATTATAATGTTCATGAAACACGTCTGTAGCAAAGATGGTGGTAGTTCTTCTGTTACTGAAGTTACCCTTCACCGTGGTGATTTGCAAAGGAGATGTACTTGAATGTTTCTGTAAATCTTGAGATAAACTGTTTGGAGATTTTACCACCTCTCTGATGGGGGACCAACTCTATGGAAATTGTAAATAAGTTTTATTTATAAACCTGGCACTGTATTCAATAAACATTTCTGCAGCCTTTCATCTCTAACTGCGAACTGTGTAGGTTCTTAGCTCGCGTAGCTTTCAGTCCCTTCGCTCAGGGAACAAGATACACCTGCCCGCGGGTGTAATTCCACCTAGGCTCCAGCTCGGTGGGGGAGGGGCCGAAAATACCGTAGTCACATGCTGCTGTAGCCTCACTCGAATTATAAGTAGTTTGGGTTTTAATAACTGACATTTAAACACAATCTCGGCCTATTCCTGTGTCTGGGCATGCTTTATGCAGAAAATGTACATCATAAAAAGGTTGATTTTCCTTTAACTTCAATGTTAATGCGAGTCTCTAGGACTTGTGTAAAGAGATAACACTTTAATAATAAGATGGGACTTAAATTGCCTGAGCACATACGTCTGCCCCTGTCAGGAGCAGGGGAGCCGAGGAAAAGGGAGGGAGTGACAGCTCCGTTCAGAGCCTTGGAGCCAAAACCTTCCCCTTCGTCAGTGCCATCCCGGACCCTGGTTCCCAAACAAGCTTCTGTAGCAGGAAAGGCCACCTTCTGGCTGCCACCCGTTTCCAGAAGGATCTTTTCCTGGCTGCCTGTCCCGTGTCCTCTCCCACTCTGCACAGAAGCAGGGAGAGGGCTGAAAGGAAGGAACAATCACGGGGTAAGTCCTGGCTTGGCCACAAAGCTTGATACATCCACAGAGCATTTAAACAGCCGCTCTTCTAGACGGGAGCTGGGGGCTGCAAGGCCGTGAACACCGCCATGGGCACAGGTCTGGCCCCTGCTCTGGGTTCAGTCCCTCTGTAGCCATGGTCCCTTACCTTCTCTGGGTCTCACTGTCGCCCTTGGTGAAGGCGGTTACTGGACTAGGTACCGTTCACCTGCAGCTTTCTAGGATTCTGACCAAACTTGGTGTTTAAATTGAAATCGCAGCCTACAGAGTGGGAGGCAAAATAGTGTAGGAGCGCCGTATGCTTTGGGATGACAAATGGGATTTTTAAAGTCTCAGCAGCTCCATGTTGGGGGTGGAGCGGAGGCTACGCTTGTTATTAAGACTGATGCAACGTTGGGACGTGGGTCAGAGAAGCTGATCATGAAGTGACGTCCACCCTCCTCACAGGATGGAAATAGGAAGCTGCCACTCGACCTGTGAGAGATTCCGTTCAAGGGACGACGTCACCCGGTGTTTCAGCAGCTTTGGCTCAGGAAAAAAACACACACATTTCCGATGTGAGCTGAACTTCTTTGGGCACCGAGGGCCGGAGCACCCAGTGACTCAGGACGCCTTAGAAGGAAACAGAACTTACAAGTTTTTTATAGCTTGGTGCACCTCCTCTCCCACTGCCCTCAGCCCTCCGCGGGGGAGTGGGAGGGGCTCGCTCAGGCCCCAGTTCCCGGGAAAGCTGAGTGGGCCCCGGAGCTGGCTGGCTTTCCCGTCGTGTGGCTGACAGTCCCTGAACTTGGGTTTGGAAAAAAGGCGGTAGTTATCCTCATAAGAATTATTTATATTCCACCTCTGTGTCCACAGCCTTTGGAGTGTATGTGTGCATGTTCAGAGATGTCACATTTTAAAGCCTTATTTTCACTTAGAAAAATGAAAGGGAAAATCCAAGTCTTCTCTAGTCAAATCATTTCTTAAATAGTTTGATGAACGTACTCTTTTTATTATGCCTGCTTATGAGCATGTACAGTTTTAAACTAGTTTTCTTTCCCTTTTTGAGTCTTAATATACTGTTCAGGTTGTGATTTTTTTGTTACTGTAAAAGGTGAATTTTTTTTCACTCACACAGACTGGTACCAGAGTCAAGACCTGAGACAATGGTTATTTTTTTAAAATAGGAAATAAATGAAAAAGTAATTATAAAATGATAATATCTTAGTTAAAAGGAGTGGGCCATACATTATAGGTCAAACTCCCAGTGTGAACATCTATATCGTGATTCTCAAACTTTTGGGAATATTTCCCATGGCAAGAAGTTTATTACCTCAATAGACAGCCCAGTTGCATTTTAAACAAACCAGAAAAAAACAAAACTTTTTTTCTGATTATTAAAACGTGGTGTTTATTATATGCAATTTGTGGTATCAAATAACTACACTACCCTACAGAGCATAGCTAACATTTTGTATTTCCTTCCAGAATTTTTTCTCACCATATGGATGCAGTGGTACAGTTGATAAGATTGCAATCTGCGTGGGTTTTAAAAATTAAGCATGAAATTCCTGATTATATACAATTATATATTGTATACATACATAATACATAGGTATTACAATCTTTTTATTCCTTACACTTTTTTTTGACACAATTCATGCCCAATAAAATTCACTCTTTAAAAATAGACAACCCATGGCTTCGGCGTATTCCCAGGCTGTGTAGCCATCACTACCCCCTCACGTGGGAGCGCTTTCATTG